GCCCAATGATGTCTTTCTTGTTTGCTGTTATATTCTTGTTCCTGGTATATGGTGGGCATTCAATAAATATTGGTTAAATGAGTTGTGTGTGTATACATACATTTCTCAGATAACGTTATATAGCCATGAGTTTCACTCTGCCTAAGATGCTAGAAAGTTTAGAGCTGATTTTTCTCATCAGGCTTTTTTGGAGTATAGTTGACAAATCAAAAAGTAAAATTTAATAACCTGTGAGATTTTTGCTGTTTCATAGTGTTAACCTTTCTGTTTCAACTTCATCTTTATATGTATCATTTCAAGTCTTTTAGGAAATAAGTGATAAGGATTTCTTTCAAAATTGAAACAAGTGATTATGTATGTGTGAATGACTGAAAATTTGTTGACTTTCTGCATCCCTAAATAGAAATAAACTTTTAAGTTCAAATATATAGTTATTATCATATCCAGATACTCAGTTCAAAATATTCAAATATTACAGAGAAACTCCAATATAGCCTAAGTTCTTCAATTTTGATTTTTCTTTCCTTCTTGAAAAGATGAATATAGTTGATTAAACTTACATAAAGAACCTGTTGATTAGTTTTCTGCCCTAAGTTTTAAAATTCTGTTTTTTAATACAGATGTGGAATTAGAAGAAGCTATTAGAAGAAGTCTTGAGGAAATGTAATTAAAGATATAACCACAAAACATCAAGTGGCCTTGAAGAGACTCAGGATAATGAATTCTTGAGTTTGTTTTCTAAAGGAGACCAGAAACCTACTAGTATAAACGTATCTGAAAACATGTTTTTGTGTTGATATGTTCACAATCTCATATTTGCTTTGTATTTTTTTGTGCTACTGTACAAAATTGTATCAAAGGAGTAGAATACATGTTAATGCATATATAGATCATGTATTCTAATATATAGGTATCACAGATTCCCAACTATCTTAGAATTCATATATTTAGGTTAAAAGGATTAAAGAAAAAAAGGAAAGTTTTGCTTATTGTTTGGTTTCCAAGTATTATTAGTTCCTTTTTTTCTTTTTTTGTACTATATAGATGATTCTAGTTTATTTTTTTAGGATTGAAAAATGAGTATAAATAAAGGTGCCATAACTCAAAAGTTTTTCCGTAAATTCTGTGTCTCATGTGGCACTAATGTATAATACCTTTGAGATCTTTGGTTATGATTATTAGAAGAGGGTAATGGAAATTGATAATGAAAACAGATTAAAAATTTTACCAGTGATGTTCTTTGTGGGTATCACACAGATATATATTCTTGCTTTATTTAGAGAATCTCATTGCTAAAATAAAAGCACACTTTTTTCAAAAAAACTAAAATGAAACTTTTTCCATTCCTTTTACATGCTTAGACTTTTATGTGACTTGTATGATCTGCTGTTTAAAGGAATGTCAAAATATGCATAGAATTAAACTTATTTTAATAATATTACTCTTCTTATATATTTTTATATGCGTAATTTTCTTCAAAAGTAATGTTTGTTGCTGGGCAAATGTGTAATTCCAGCAGCTTTGGAGGCTGAGGCAGGAGGATCATGGCCTGGGCAACTTAGCAAGACTTGTGTCTCAAAGTGAAATAAAAAGGACTGGGGATATTGCTCTATTGTAGAATGCTTGGCTAGAATATGTGAGGTTAAGGGTTCAATTCCCAGTCCTTCAAAAATAAATAAATAAAATAATAATAGTAATGGAAATGTTGAGGGTCTTCTCAGGAATAATTTTCTTAACTCTCTAAAATTTTGTTTCATATGGAGTGTCTTCATTTTAGTTATTCAAATTCACTGAATTGTCTATTTCATACATTTGGTATTCCCTGTTTTTAAATGTTGAAGCCTTGTTATAATTTTTGTGAAATTGCATAAGTGGAAAACTAAAAAGGACTAATATTATCTTCACATATGCTTCATGTTATTTAACCAAAAACATCTTCATCTCTAAAAATTTTTAGTAATTATTTACTAAATGTAAAAAATATTTCTATACAGTTTTTCTTTATATTTCAGATAGAAAGACATCATGGCTAAAATTTTGTTTTTTTCTCTGACACTAGATATTTTAATGTTCAACAGATTGCTGGTTTATTAACTATAGTCTTTTCAATCTATATTTGAAACCAAATTGTGTTTTTATTTCTTTAAAGTCATTTCTCTTCCTACTTGCATTTTTTTAAGGTTGGCATTGTATATTGAGGATTTATTAATCATGTTTCTAAAATGACCACATTGTGCATTTAATTTTTATGTTAAAGTTGTCAGGCACTAGGCTATACAGTAATGGAGCTGGACATTAAACACATCTGCAGGAGTTTGCTAAATAGTGAGAAGCAGAAGGGACGTTCCAGAGAGAAGAGTAGTTAAGTGGATGTGGGGCAAGAGCAGGTAGCATCTCTGTTAGCGATGACACACAGGTGTGATGAAAACAGGTGCTCTGTTAAGGTTTCTTGATGTGTTATGCTAGTAACTGAAGCTTTTGGTATAATAAGAAAGGGGTTTTTCACCTTAAGTAAAAATAATTGGGTTATTTAATGTTTAAATTTATAATTGTCACTGATTGTATTTCTATTCATTAATTAAAATCATTTTAAAATTATAATTTGGACTTAACTTAGACATAGGAGATGTAACTAGTAGAATATATTAAGGAAAGGTATATTATCAAAAGTAAATGTTTCTAATCCTGACATAGATGCTGATTTTTTTCATTCCACCATTCATTTATTCACCATCTACTAACAAAATATTTATTGAATACCTACTATATGCAAGCAACAGTTCTCAGCAAATGACACACACCAGTGAGCAAAACAAAGCTCCATGCCGGGTATGGAACACACACTGTGGGAGTATTAAATAGTAAACAAATAAATAAAACAGTGTATCTGATGGTGATAAGTATAATGAAGTAAATAAAGAAGGAAGGATATAAACAGTGCAGGGAGCTGAGGGAGAGAAGGCTCTCTATTAGGACAGTCAAGAAAGATCTCATTGATCAGTGAACTTGAGCAAAGACCTGAGGAAGGTGAAGGAATGAGCCATGCAAATATATACAGGTGGTCCCTGAGTTAGGGTGGTTTGACTTATTTATTTGGACTTTAGGATGGTGCAAAAACTATATACATTCAGGAGAAACCATATTTTGAATCTTGATCTTGTCCCAGGTTAATATGTTTTGCCATACTCTCTCAGGCCCTGCATGGGCGAGTTGCAGCTCCCAGCATGAGGGTATGCTGTGCCCTGTACCACTGAGCAGTGTTGTTCAGTAGGCTGAGTGTATTAAGCCTACTGTTTAGTAGGTTGAGTGCATTTTTGATTTATGATATTTTCAACTTATATCAGAATGTAACCTCATTCTAACTGGGGAATATCTATATAAAGAGGAATGTTCCAGGTGGAAAATGAGAAAGTCTAGAGGGGAAGTTGGTATATTCAAGGAAAAGCAAAATGTCAGTATGACTAAAGCAGGATGAGTTTAAGAGAGTAAAAGACAAGTCCTTACAGCTTCTTTTGGGACCTTGGCTTTTACTGTGAAATGAGAAGCCATTAAAGGTTTCTGAGAATAAGTGGTGTGGTGTACCTTATTTGGTTATATTGAAAATACATAAGAGGCAAAGGTAGAAACAGAGGCCAGAAAGGAAGGAATTGCAATAATCCAGGTGCAACTAAGTGACTTGGACTGGAATGGTGTAAGTCCAATGAGAAGGAAGAATCTACTCTGAAGGCAAAAATGACGAGATTTTTTTTTTTTTTAAGAGAGAGAATTTTTTTAAAATTTATTTTTTTAGTTTTTGGGGCACACAACATCTTTGTGGTGCTGAGGATCGAACCCGGGCTGCATGCATGCCAGGCAAGCGCTCTACCGCCTGAGCCACATCCCCAGCCCCAATGATGGTATTTATTAATGGATTGGATCTAGAATGTGACAGATTCCAGGATGATTCTAAAGTCAAATTATAAGACTTTTAGACTATTCACAAAGTGTGTTTATATTTCAAGTTTCTGTCATGAAATGACAAATAACATTTAATGAAGTCAAATAATCCCATGCGTTTGGGTGGAACTGGGATCCAGGGTTAAGATAACTTTGATCTCTGATTAAAGGTCGTGATTCAGCTTCAAAGATTTATTATTTTCTGTGCCCTGTACATTTTCATCTCTGCAGTATGAGGCACAGAACTATCATAAGAGGGAACTAAAGCACAATTTTTTAAATAAAAAATCTTTTTATTCCTAGCCCTAGTCGGTCCTTTACTGACCTCTAAGCATCTGACCTAAGGGCCTACTGCATCTTTATATTGTTAACAGGAGACTTAAGTTGGATGTGAAGTGGCTTAACTAATCAGTACCAATTATTTCCACTCAAATACTAACAGATAGTTTTTTCAATAAGAAAAACAAAGTCACTAAAAAATCCCTTCGTTAGGGTGGAAGTGGAGTCAGTTCATCTTATTTCCCACATGTAGACAGGGAAAGATGTGGTGGCTTTTTCTTTTTAACTTTGCCTCAGTGTTGTCCAGGCTTTCATTTTTCTCATCTCAGGAAAATGGTAACCCAACTTGTCAGGCCAGTGTAGACTGCCAGCGGTGTAGAGACCTTCTGTTTCACAGAGGGACCTTTTTTCCACATGTCAAAGGATCCAGTGGGTTTTGTTCTGGCTGTGAATGTGGGTAATGGAGAACAAATGAAACCATTAGTGGCAGTGCAGCTCCTGCCTGTTTGCCGTTAGGTACCTTCGCAGGCGGATATCCTTTCAGGCTGCACGGAAAGTCGGGGCCACAAGCTAGGCTGGGTGTTCAGGGGTGCCCCCGCCCCGGTTTCGGGTTGTGCGGCCCGAGTCCGCCGGGGGAGGCAGCCGCCAGCTCAGGACCTCCCCTTTCTGCGGCGGCCTGGCGGCGTCTGAAGCCCCGGGCCCCACCGGCCCCTCGGCGAGTCCCCTCCCCGACTCGTACCCTTGCCGCAGGCGGTGCGCCTGTCCTTCTTTGGCCACGCGGCAGCGGCGGAGTCGGCGCGTCTGCCCGGGCCGCCCCCACGGGCGTCAGAGGGAGGCGGGCGCCCCGCGCGGGGACGGCGACGCCCGCGGCCCCGGGAGCGCTCTGCTCGCCACCGCCTGAGAGGCCGGTGACCTCTGCCGCCCCGCCTCGGAGGCTCAGATGGCTCAGGCGAAGATCAACGCCAAAGCCAACGAGGGGCGCTTCTGCCGCTCCTCCTCCATGGCCGACCGCTCCAGCCGCCTGCTGGAGAGTCTAGACCAGCTGGAGCTCAGGTGAGCCGCCGAGCCCCCGCGGGCGGCGCGGGCAGAGGCCGCGGGCGTCCCGGGCCCAGTCCCGGGCCGGCTGCGGCGGGACGGGTTGCTTGTGGCGATTTGTTGTGGGTGGAGAGGATGCAGTTTGTTTCGTAGCGGATATTCCTCCCCTGGTCGGAGAGAAAAATGCATCAATTAAAAAAAATGCATTCAATTAAACCTGTGAGCGCGGTGGCCACGTTCTCACTAAAACACCTGGACGTGCGTTTGGGAGCGCAGAAAAATGAGAAGAGATGGTGACATCACTAGGGATTAAGACGGCACCTTGGGTCTATAGAACTTCTAGAACCTTCTGTGTGGTCCCAGCTTCCTTAAGCTTAACTCTTTCCAAATTATGCACTTTTAAAGGAGGCAGCAGTTTCTAGTGGCTCCTGGTGTGCTATGAGGGGGGTTTTTTGCTCCAAAACACTTGACAGCAGAAAAGAAAGGTGAGTTGGGGGGTCCAGGAATCCCCTCTAGAGCCAGAGTTAGAGAGGGGTGAGATAAACCAAGGGACAAACGCTTGTACTCCCCTAACCTCCTGTATGGTACTCTGCAGTCCCTTAGTCTCAGTATTTATTGAGCACCTCCTAGCATGGAAGATTCTGCTCACACCTTTGAAGTGCCAGTCCTTGGCCTAAAAGTGCGAAAAGGTAGTCTCTTCACCTGCTTATGGTTTTACTAAGAAATCAGACTTGAATAGAATTTCTTATTTCATTGGTTAGAATTTTCTAAATAATTGAGTATTAGTAAATTTTGAAAACATTTTTCTTTAACTGTGTTTGTCAAATTTTATGTACTTAATGTGAACGTTTTTAAACATCCTGTAAATATCGCTGAAATTATTGTGTAAATTTTTTTAAATATTTAATTTTTTAGTTATAGGTGGACACAATATCTTTATTTTTATGTGGTGTTGAGGATTGAACCCAGTGTCTCATGAATGCAAGGCAAAGCTCTCCCTCTGAGCCACAATCCCAGCTCCATTGTGTAAATTTTTATTGTACGCAGGTATAAATAATGAAAATCTTGCTAAGGTACCTGCAGTCTCCTGAAACTGCGTAATTTTTTTGCCAGGTTCTGGATAAAAAGATAGGAGAATGTGAGCCAGAAAGCTTAAGAAGCACTTGCCTGTGTCTTTATCTCCCTGTAATCATAAGCCAAAACACCCCACATAACACATTAATAACCACAGTATCTCCTGGCATTTTAGGTATTTGTTACTACTGGGAGAAAAGTGCTAGAAAGTGAGAAATTTTCCACCCACAGCATTTTTATGAACTGCACCAGATAGAGAAACTAGGGCCCTGCACCTGGTTCTGGGGATCTGCTCAGAATGAGACAAATGGAAGGGAGAGGTAATGCTGTTTAAGGGATCTCAAAAAAATATCAACTCACCCGCTCAACTGGCAGAGAAAGTGGAGCAAAATTGGGGAACTACAGATCAGTGGCCCCAGCTATTGATAAAAAGCCCTCTGAGGAATAGTTCTTTTCTTGTAGCAGTGATCCACAGTCTTTAGATCTTTGAGAATATTCTCAATCATTTCAGTCTCTCTTGGATAGTCAGAAAGAAAACTTTTTCTTAAAGCCTTGAGGAGGATGTTTTCGCCTCTTTGCTTCAAGCTGAGTCATTGTACTCAAACTTGAATTAATGCCTCCCATGTATGTGGTATGTACAAAAGTACTCAAGTGCTTCTTTTTAAAAGCAAACCTCTGATTTTGAGTATTATTATATTCTAATGTTTAATTAATGAAAATAACTTGCTTAACACTTGCACCAAAGAGGAAAACCTAATTAATATATGTGTCTAATTGTCCACTTTAAGGAATTTTTTATTCTTCCTTTAAAAAAGTAATACTAAAAAGTAAAGAAGTATTTCAGAAGGTAAGCAAAAACAGAAAAATGCTAATGCTGCTCCCATTAATTCTTTTTTCTCTTTTTGAAGCTATAAGGGCAGTGTCACAGACCCCTACACTATTAAAAACTAGACTTGTGCCCAGGAGGAGATTGACTTTTAGAAAAACACATGAAACTTATATGTAATTTTGCTTTTCTACTTTGATTTCATATTGATTATGACTTTAAAGTAGTAGGCTGGGTAAACAGTGTAGTCTGTACCTAATTCCTCATCCACACTGATTCTGCTGGTTGTGGAAGAAAGTTCTTCCATCTATGAAACTAAAAACAGGATTATACCAAATGCTCTATGACTTGGGGTATAAACTGGCTTATAAGATGTTTAAAAGGCCTTAAATTGTTTGGCCATGGTCTACAGACTTAAAACTTGCCATTGGTTTCTAATATTTTATTACACTAGCCTTTAAAAATCTCTTTTCCCCCGTCAGTTCATCTCCTTTACTGCTTCCTCTTAATAAACCAATTCTGTGAAATCTGGAGTTCACATTTGCCTGTGGCTCAAGACACCCTGCTTATTATTGTTATTTCTAACAGTAATAATAACTTAGAAATAATATGTTAACATTTACTCATTTAATGAGCACTGTCTAAATATCTATATATAATGCCCCATGCTATTATCTCCAATCTACAGATGAGAAATTGAGGCTAACACATAGATGACTTGTCTAAAGCCACACAGCTAAAGAGTAGTGGACTTCAAATTTGAACACTGGAAGACTGGCTCTCCAGGCTCTAACACTTTGTGCCTGAATTTTCTTAAATATGTCCTGTTCCATAATATTGGGTTGGTATATGAATGGATATATGATTTTACTAAAAAAAGATGAAAATTATATTAAACTTCCATTCAGTAAACACTAAACACCCACTGTGTGACAGGCGTAGTGACTCCTAGAAGGCCCAGGGAGAAAAGGAAAATGTTTAGGGGATGGGTATTAGAGACTGGCAGAGGGGAAATAGGGAGATTGGCTTTTGTCACATTCCCCCAAACTAATCATAGTCATTCCTTCCTTTGTCACATCAGCTGTGAGCACAGCTGGGAAATGAAGGGTTGGGCAGGAGATGAAGTGTATCATTCCTGTGGCTTAAAGTTTCTCAGCACTTAAAGTCTGTCATGGTGTGTGAAATGTTCCAGGACTCAAAAAGCAAGATAACATCATAGTTAATTCTGCATAACAGCCTATAATTTAAAAGAACACCTTTCATAAAAATTGTCATTGAAAACTTAGAATCCTTTGAGGTAGGAGGAGGGCACATATTATTATCTCTTAGAAATGAGGGAACTAAGGTCTAGAGGGATTAAATGGCTTGCCTGAGGCCTCGTTACTGATGAGTAGCCATTAACAGGAAAATACCCATCCCTTTTTTATACCAGTATCTTGATAGTGAATGAACTTTAACGTTAAAAAAGTATATTTAGTTGTTGATGAACACAATGCCTTTATCTTATTTATTTATTTATTTTTATGTGGTGCTGGGGCTCAAACTCAGTCCCTCACTGTGCTAGGTTATAGTCCCAGCCCAAACTTTAATATTTTAATGATTAGAAAAACCCTTCAATTTTTTCACATTGCCCAAAATATTAAGGGAATATTGTTGCAGTTTTTTAAAATGCAGCAGTATGAAATAAGATACTGTTTTGGAAATTATTTCTTTCAGATAAATCCATAATGTGAGCATTTCACATTTTCCCTCCATTTGATGAAAACATGAATTCTTGTTATTAATAAATGAGTTTGTGGTGATGGTAAGTACATAATAACTGCTGTGAAGCTGATGTATGCCAGCACCAATTCTAAGCACATCATACATATGAAAAAATATATATATATATATATTTTTTTTTTTTAAATCACTGCCCCAGTCACTGCATTAAACTCATCACCTCTTTACTTCATTTAGTTAGCCACCATCTCCTCATTATCTCTTTTTCATAGGTGAGGGAATTGTAGCCAAGAGTGAATAAGTACTCAAAGCCATATAGCCAGAAAGTGGCAGCACAAGACAGTTTTCACTGCACACTTTATTAGCTAATGTAATAGTAGCTCCAGGTTAGGTTTGCACCTTTCCCAAGTCTCCCACCAATTTGTCTTCTTGATACCTAAGCTGCAGAAATTTTGTATGGTGCCCAAGACCTGGGGACTACCTTAGGTTGCATATGTGCCAGTTTTGTCCTCAGTAATATTCTGATGAAAGTGGGGCTTGCTTTTGTTTGTCAAAGCCTGCTTAGAAGCCCATTTCAGTGGGGCAACCTGTAATCCCAGTGATTTTGGAGGTTGAGGCAAGAGGATTGCAAGTACAAGGCCAGTCTCGGTAACTTAACAAGACCCTGTCTCAAAGTAAAAGAAAGCTTGGGGACTGAGGTTGTAGCTCAGTGGTAGAGTGCTAGTGCATGAGGCATTGAGTTTGGTCCTCAGCACCACATAAATATAAAATAAGGATATTGTGTCCACCTAAAACTAAAAAATAAATATTTTTTTTAAAAAAAAGCTGGGATGGGGCTGGGGATGTGGCTCAAGCGGTAGCGCGCTCGCCTGGCATGCGTGCGGCTCGGGTTCAATCCTCAGCACCACATACCAACAAAGATGCTGTGTCCGCCGAGAACTAAAAAATAAATATTAAAAATTCTCTCTCTCTCTCTCTCTCTCTCTCTCCTCTCTCACTCTCTCTTAAAAAAAAAATAAACAAATGTATCGTTTAAAAAAAAAAAAAAAAAGCTGGGATGGTAGAGCACCCCTGGGTTCAATCCCCAGGATTGGGGTTGAAGGGGGGTGGGGGAGCCTGCTTAGTTGTGATTTAACATGGAGAGTTTTCCAAGAGCACAGCCCAGACCAGCCTTGATGTGAGGATAAGTTCTTTCCCAATTTGGACATGTAGCTGCTTCCAAGATCTGTTAGTAAATACAGAACTGCCCTTTGCCGCCAAGAGAAGTGTTGTCAGATGAGATACTAAAAGCATGAAGGAAAAAGTGAGGTGGCCCAAGTGAGATGAAACCAGAGTTCCAGAGGAAAATAATTGAAAGGGAGACAGGAATATTCAAGGATACAATAGCTAAGAATTTTCTGGAATTAATGAAAAAGCTATAGACAAATCTATACTAGCTGATAAACAGTACAAATACTACTGCTACTACTACATACACAGATGAACAATGCCAAAGGTGTTAATTACCTCAAGGGGCAGGAAGGAGGAGTTGTTAAGGAAACAGTTCCTGTCAAAGGGGCTTTGGGTTTTGAAAAAGATCACCTAGTAGATAAGGGTCTAAGGGTGGGGGAGAGAAGGTGGCAGGAAGAAGGAAGAGTAAAAAGTAAAAAGCCCCTGGTGCCAACACCCCTGGAATCCACATCTTGAAGAATGGCAGTTTATTTTTGCCTTGAAAGGGAAAAGGTACAAGAAGTTCTTTAAAGATCAAATCTGTTTTTTCGAGGAAAAGGCCCTGGCACTTTCTGTTCTGTATAAAGAAGTTTTATGGGGGAAAAAAAATCCCCCATAAATAGAGTTCTAGCTGATTTCATTTGGTCTTATTCATTGATAAAATTTCTCTTTATATAACATATTTACATTTTTTCTACATTTTTATTTTAATCTGTTAACAATTCCACAAACTCTTGTATGTACAGCCTGCCTTGTAGCATTCAGTTCTGTCCTTATCATCTTACATGTGAATACAAACTCAGGAGTGTTAAAAAAAATTATTATTCTCATTTACCAATCACATGATTCTTTTGTGTCAGTTATCTAAATATTAGTCATGGTGTTTTTAGTATAAATATCTCATTAGTGGCTACTCAGTCTCTTTCACGTATATCTGTTAGACTTTGTAAAATATTTGAATAAATGGTGAGTGGTGCAGGAAGAGGGCCTGATACTGCATTATTACCACTTTATGGAATATTATATTTGATTGTGTCTTCCAGCCAGATTTGTCACATAAGATTCTTACCAGCTCTTTGCTTTTACTGGTTCCTATAAACACAGAATCCTACACATATTTAATATCTTGAAGAATAACCATGCTGTGGTTATACAGCCTTTCAGTGCTATTTTGGGGTATAACAGGTGGGTGAGTGGATGGAAAAAAAGCATGTTCCGGGCTAGGGTGAGAGGTGAGGGATCCTTTCACAGAATTGACATGCCAGAACATTGGTGAGTTGTTCCTTCTGTGCCCACTTTAGGCACAATCTAGCTTAGATCTCCCATGATCCTGTATTCCTAGGATCATCCAAATTCTGAGGATAAGTCTGACACTGTCATTTTACAAGATTTGGTACCTTAGTTACCGTAACCTTTCAAAAGCAAATGTCAGACAACTTTTAATTATGCAGCATGTCATTTTTTTCTTCCTGCTTTCATAATTCTGCCACCTAGTTTTTTAGTGAATGGGCATGTTCTTCTGTTTGTGTAGTGAAGGAGGCATGTGTGTCTAGTTGAAGGAGGTGGAGAAAGAGTGCTTCTATAGTTTGATCAGGGCTTCATACCAAAAACCTACCAAAGCTTGCCTTTAAATCTATGAAAAAGACAAAAGATGCTCCCAACACCACCACCATTTCATATAGTACCAGAGGACCTTAGTACTACAAAGGAAAAAACAAGAGCTATTTGGATTGCAAAGGAGAAGACACAAGCGGTCTTTTTTTTTTCTTTTCCGCCAATGATATGATCATCATCCTAGAAGAACCAAGAGAATCAACAGAGACACCATTAAAATTAATAAGTATAAATCAAGGATTCCAGTTACAATCTTGAACCTACAAAAACAGCATTTTTTGAACTAAGTCATTGATTAGAAATGTAATTGAAGTTATCCACAACATCAACTATGTCTACAATGTATCTAGAACACAAGGCTACTATGGAGAGTTTTTCAAAACTCTAATAAAGAATATAGAAGATCTAAATGAAGAGATGTATCATACCCCTGAGTGAAATGACTCTTATTATAAAGATGTCAAATTTCTCCCAATTTTTTTTAGAACCCAATAAACTTACTGAACAGTTTGTACAGTGGAAAAAGTTCCCATTAAATAGCTAAGTTATCTTTAAAGAAAATTGGGCAGTTGGGGGAGGCTACTCTACCAAATATTAATGCAAAATGCAAGACTGGTGTTATGGCTCAGTAGCAGAGTGCTTGCCTCACACATGTGAGGCACTGGGTTCAATTTTCAGCACCACATAAAAATAAATACATAAAAAATACATAAAATAAAGATATTGCGTTCATGTATAATTAAAAAAATTTAAATAGGTGTTGGTATAAAAAGTTAAATATACCAATATATGGAATACAGATTTCAGAAATAACACAAATTGTAGGGAAATATGAATTGTGTGGTAAATAATTTGGGGGGAAATGTCTCATTGTTTGGATAAAAATAAAATATTTATGTAACCACATATAAGAATGGGTTCTAGTGGATTAAATAAATATGAGAAAGATAAAACTATGAACTTAATGGAGCAAAATATCTTATGACCTAGGGGTGGGAAAGGCCTTAAACAAAACTTTAAAGCATAAACCACAAACGAGAGACTAACCCATCCCATCATCATAAGGACCTCATAACTGGGCATTGTGGCATATGTGTAAAATTCCAGCTGTTGGGGAGGCTGAGGCAAGAGGCTTTTGAGTTTGAGACCAACCTGAGCAGCTTAGCATCTCAGAAAAAGAAAAAAAAAAAAAAACCAGGATCTCAAGTGAAGGCAATCCCAGACTAGGTTCATATATGACAAGATGAAAGCAGGTATTGCAGTGTCTGTTGCCAACCAGAAATTAATATGCAAATTCTCAGGCCCATAGGGGACATGTTGTCAACTTTAAGTGTTATTGCCCTAATGAGAAGATGGTAGACAATCTGAGTGCCCATCTCTGGGAATGGACATAAAACATCAGATGTTTATACATATGCAGTAATTAGAAGCTACTGCTTAGACATACACCCCAAATCCTGGATGATTCTGAACAAAATGGAAATTTTAAAAATGGGATAAGGTATAAATTTAAAATATGCAAATATACGAATAATACAGATTTTGTAATAACAGAGAAACAACAAATAGAATAATTGTTCTATGGGCAGAGATGAAAGTGGGAGTGAAGTAAGTGAATTTAAAAAAAGTAGAAAAATGATATGTTTAAAAAGGTCTAAAGAAATTTTAAAATGCATTCCTAATGATCTTAAAGACTGACTTGGATTGAATGAGAAAATGAAGAAAATTAATAAAAAGAACACCGTCCATATAATTAATGACTGTTTTTGTTTTCCCAATTTACATAGGGTTGAAGCTTTAAGAGAAGCAGCAACTGCTGTTGAGCAAGAGAAAGAAATCCTCTTGGAAATGATCCACAGTATCCAAAATAGCCAGGACATGAGGCAGATCAGTGACGGTGAGAGCCATTTCCACAGAAGGGGGCTCCTCTCTTACACTGTTTTAGGGGATTTGTGATAAGCATGGGCCAGTTTTTGTCTGACTTCTGGTATGCGTACACTAGGCTTCAGCATTTCACGTGAGCTACATGGAGCAGCTGTGGCTGTCAATTACAGCAGCCACTTATGTAGAGATCATTGTTCCTATGTGCTGCCTACCCCAGATCTGGAAAAGGCCTGAAAGCTCCGGAAGAGTGGGGCCCAAGCCGTAAGGCCATGTGTCTCCTGTCAGGTTCACACTCTTAACTTCAATTTTTCCAAGTTCCTGGACTCGGAAAAGCAGAGGACAAAGCAGAGAATAAAGGGGAAAGTGGAGGCAGAGGAGAGCAAAAAAGAGATGAATTGAGGTGAGAGGAAATGGAGAAAATTCAGAGGAAAGGTAAATTACAGGACCAAAAGAAGACACTGATGTGCTGTCCTCTTCATTTGAAGAACGCCACTGCCTGTGGAGGAATAGGGCTCTGGGGTGTTCTTCCCTTGATATTGGATTCCCAACTGGGCTCCTTTGGTGCTCCACAGGGAAAGCCAGTGGGTCACAAAACAGTAAGCTTAACTTCATATCCAAACTGGTAAACATCCAGAGTGGGTCGTGATCTAGTTTTTCTCTTCATTATTGTGGCCCAGGGTCATGAGTTAGGAATGAGGTTATAGGACAAAAGATCATGGGCTTTTTCATATAGTGCACTGTTGACAGAGCCCTGTTTACCATCATTGCCTCCTTGTGCCAGCCACGATTCGGGACCTCTGATCTTCCTCAGACTGCCTGGAGGGGATGAAGTCAGTGCTTGGTTTTGAGGCCAGCTTATTCTCTACTGTCATAGCTCTGACTCCTTGGCCACACCTGCACACTCTCATATGGGACAGTCTCATCACCACAGCTCTACCCAGCACAAACCCTAGTTATGCTCCTTGCTCATAATGATGTGATTGTTCTTCATCTCAGACACAAGCCTGCACACACTTGTGCAGACATGTGAACCTGAAAAATCATTTGGTACACTGTCACAAATTTTCAGAGGAAGGTATTCTGCAACCTCTAGTATTTCGTCTGTTAATCTTACATGCTGTAGTTTTAGTCTTCACCTTAAAATTTTCACAGCACAAGTTCTTATAGAAAATAAATCTAGCCATAAATGAATGCCTTAGTGTTCTTGACATGAATAAGCTTGTGTCCCATATTGATTGATATTTCAAAACTTTTTATGTTTAGGAGAAAGAGAAGAATTAAATCTGACTGCAAACCGTTTGATGGGACGAACCCTCACCGTTGAAGTTTCAGTAGAAACAATTAGAAATCCCCAACAGCAAGAATCCCTAAAGCATGCCACAAGGATTATAGATGAGGTGGTCAATAAGTTTCTGGATGATTTGGGAAATGCCAAGAATCATTTAATGTCACTCTACAGTGCATGTTTGTCTGAGGTACCACCTGGGCCTGTTGATCAAAAATTTCAATCCATAGTAATTGGCTGTGCTCTTGAAGATCAGAAGAAAATTAAGAGAAGATTAGAGACTTTGCTTAGAAATATTGAAAATTCTGACAAGGCCATCAAGTTATTGGAGCATTCTAAAGGAGCTGGTTCTAAAACTCTGCAACAAAATGCTGAAAGCAAATTTAAGTAGTCTTGAAACCTAAGGGTACCTACAAATGATGACATAAAAATAATAAGATGCTATTTTAGTTCTTTGTCAGGTATAACCACTTACTTGATACAGTTGTTTCAGATGAGGAAAATACTCCAGTGTTAACATTTTTTGCAAATAATAATTAAAATTTAAAGTATTTTAATTATCTAGAAGTTTTTAGATTGAATTCTTATCTTGTACTAGGATCTAGCACTATATATTTTACTATTTTATGGATGAATGAATACATAGTATGTAGAAAAAAATGTATTCAGCCGGGGTTAAAGCATTCCTGGACTTTGTCTGGCATGTAAACACATAGGCACATGAGCATTTAGTTAGCTAGAAATTCCTTACCCTAACAGTACACACGTGCATGCATGTACACACACACCCCACATACACACACGCAGTACACTCAAGTACTAAATACTGTGCTTAGAGGGATAAAAGGAATCACAACATAAGGACCTTTACCTGCATTTACATGATTATTTTGTTTTTAAGATTTGTGCATCTCACGGTATGAATGTATTTTGTATATACATGGCAGCGTGAGAAAAAGCAGCTTTAATTTTGCAACAGTTGAACAATTATATATCCACTTGATCTCTCAAATGCATTAGTTGTCTAAAATTTCAGTGTTGAATCTTGCCTTTTATTTTTTTCTTCCTTTAAGCCACTATAAAGGCTGCTTAATTGTAGTTTCAAAAGCTCTATTTTGTGTAGTGGTCCAACTTGTTGCTATTACTGCAACTTAACTAAGCTTTATCCTTTGTTTCTGATTTTTGTACAAATTCTCAGCAGGTGGATTTATTGGGTCAAAGGGTATATAGATTTTCATGGCCTAACATATTTATAAATTGAGAACTTTTATACAAAGAATTCAGAAATATGTCTGTCTTCAGCAATTAAAGTATAGTTATTTCACTGAAATTCTAGCATTGAGCCTTAAATTTTTTGTAGACTTAAAACACCTGAATTTAATTTGCATCTTGCTTACTAACAAGGCTGATTAATGTATTGATCCTTTTATAAATGAAGTATAGCACAACTTTGTTAAAATTAACTAGTGCTTTTCCCCAAATACTGTGAAACAAATACTTCAATTTCTATTAGAACATAGGTAATCACAAAAAATATTCAGATTGATTTTATATATCTATATTCCTCAGTGCAAACAACATTGAGCAGAATTTTCTGTACAAAAGATGCCAAGTTAGTTGCGGGTAGGGGTTAAAAAAAAAAAAAGATGCCAAGTTAGATATACTCAGGACATTCATAGTTGATCTTTGCCAGCCCTAACTCTGCTCATTTAAGTCTTTCTATTTTGGGGAAATGTTAATTCTATCTGTGGCAATAGTTCTTGGTTTGTAAATGGATTCTGAGTTGCTGTCATCAGGTTGCACAGATGAAAAAAAAAATTGTACCACCTTGTTTTTTAGCAGCTTTTTGAAAATTAAGAATGGGATGATCAAGTTTTCCTCAGATTCTCTAGTGTTGTCAGTTTTGGAAAGCCCTTTCCCCTCTGGGTGGTACTCCCTGCCCTCTACCCTCCCATTCCATTCACTCCATATCAGTCCAGGACTTTTTCCTTCACAAATTATTGTTGACATGCTTCCTTGACTTGTATTCTTTGCTACATGAGCCACATGATAGATAATGACAGATAATAGACTTGAAGGACATTTAGAGTATGTTTTGACTTATCACAATCCAACACAATTTAAGAATTTTTTTAACGTGCAATTTGAGGACAGCTCTTTGTCTTATTTCCGTCCCTGTCTGTCCCAAGGGTTCTCCATAAAGCCTGCTTTCTGCCTTCATTTTTAATGATAGGCTTTCTGAAGTATGGTAGCTAGCAAACGGACCTGCAAAGGAGACGTTAACTCAAATTCATCAATTGAGGACAAAGTGAAAATCCACCTAGTTGAGTATGGCAAATATAGAACTGAGCTTTAATTTAGGGACTCTGATATTGAAAAAGTTCCTAGTGCTTTTAAGTGGGAAGGGGACCTTTAACAGCAATGAATTTGAACTTGAGGTTTCCAATGGCCTTTGCCTTTCCACTGATGGATTCTCTCTTTAAAAAAAATTATTTAGTTGTAGATGAACACACAGTATCTTTATTTATTTTTATGTGGTGCTGAGGATTGAACCCAGTGCCTCACACATATGAGGCAAGCACTTTACCACTGAGCTACAGCCTCAGCTCTTCCACTATTGGATTCTCTAGGACACAAGGAATCCTGTGAATGGGCTCTTCCTTTTCATTTAATGAAACATTAGTCAAGTATGATGCACAAGGACAAACACTTGAGTGCAGGCATGGTACCCTATTGATGCAGCTCAGTTTAGCATTGACCAGAGTGCTTAAAATCTGCCCTAAAGAGGTTAACAACTAACGAAATTCTGTTTAATGTATTTATACCCTTTAAATGACTGACTGATAAATGTGGACACATTTCATATATGTAAAAATGCTGTCTCTGAAGGCAGAATTTTACAATTACCCAAAGACACAAAATAAGGTAAAAGAGCTAAGAATCTTGGGAAAGAAAAGGCAACCAAGGTGTGAGTAAATGTAGGCTCAGCCACCTCTGTATTTGTGTGTGTGTACTCACACCAAAGAAGCCAAAGGAAAATGGATAAAACAGAAAACAGGCACAGTACTACTGGGTTAATAAGCATCACTGCAAGACATAGCCTGAGCGCCCAACTCCATCTCTTACCAGCAGAGGGCCCAGGAGCATTTCCTTTAACAAGAATCTTGCCCTTGGCAACTGAAAAATCTGGGTTACAAGGCTCCTTCAAGCTTTTATGTGTAAGAGATACTACATGCTCACATGTGGAAAAAAACTTGTGAAATCAATTAGAACTATATGGTTATTTTATACCACAAGACAAAGTAAATGTGTTATTTGGAGGACTAAAAGCCTCAGAACAAGACAAAATAAAAGCATGATATTGCTACAAGGCTAGAAGAAACATCTGTGTGCCATGGTGCTACTAAGTTGCATTAAATAACCACTAACAAAATGAATATATTCCATACTGATCCATTATCAGGAGTAAGAACTATTTTTAGGTTATTTTTTATTTTTAAAGAAGTTACATTATACCTTTTACTACTGAGTTTCACCTTGGTGATAACATCACACATATCACATGAAATTCTAGCTTTGAAATGCATGTTTTTTTTAATTATTGGAATTCATCTCCACTGAAATTTTAACCAAATAGCACATTTTAAATTAATCTTGAGGGCATAACTGCTACTCAGTACAAATTCATACAAGTGGTTTTCCATTTAAATTTACAAAAGTATTATTTAATCCTCACAAAAAAATATAGAAGTGGTTCAGTTTTCCTTTTAATCCAGTTTTTATTTTTAAAATACCATTTACCAACATTCTGTTAGAGATACTTAAAGAAAGCCAAAAAGGGGCACTAGCTGGTAAAAGAGTATCATAGTCAGATTACCCAGTTACTCATGTGTTTGATGACTGGGTATCTTAAAGACTACTAGGGTTTTAAATATTTTTTTGTTGTTTACAAATTCAATTTTATGTAGATATACAAGTTTTATATACGAAAGCCTAAAGAGTGACAATAAGTACACATGATATTCATAATTACTGAGAAAATCTACCTGTTTATCAAATGACTGTGCAATGAAAGACAAGCTTTCACCACATCAGTTCATTTTGTTTTCAGAGAAATACACTAATGATACATTTCAGAAAGTAATAACTATTTCAAAAATTTGAAAAAGACGCTAACAATATCTTATATTAAAACAGTACAATGTTTGAAGTTGGAACATTGGGTTCTAAGGACAACTCCTCACTAGAAGATTTTCAAAAAAGGTCCCAGTTCCTAAAGCCCCAGGTGCAATGGAATACATATTACTGAGATTTCTTTCTCACTGCATTGCCAACTTTGGAACAACCACATAGCTTCACTCCATAATGAAGAAAGTTGCTTGTCCTTTTTAATACTGTTAAGCTTTATTCTGAAAAACCACATGTGCTTCCAATTTTGAACAGGTAAAAAGAGCCTTTTAAAATATATTGCCTTATATGGACTATTTTGTACATACTATTTAATTCACAGGCAGAGACTGAAAAAGGAAACCAGGGGAACTGAAATATGGCAGTTGTTCCACAGCTGTATGTCTGTATGCTAAAAATTACCCATAAAAGTAGACTGGAGCACAAATGCATGCTAACCCAGCATCTTAGTCGTGTCTCTTTAGTATCCAGAGTTTCATGATAAGTTAATAAAATTACTTAAAAGAGTAAAGGATCACAAAGGAAAAATATCAATCTTTAAAGTTTTAGAAGATTAAATTAAGAATTTATTTAACATATCACTGGTTTTCAGACCTTTTATTTTAAATGATTATGATTAGGTGTAAAATATAATAATGCCAAGTAAAAATTTAGGTCTCTTCAGTTATAAGGAAAAACAAGGATAAACCAAACATAACTACAATCATCATTGGAGATTACATTTTTTATACAGAGAAGTAACACACATTATTCACACAATTAATATGAAATTGAACTACAACACATTATATAACAAGAGACTTTTCTTCTGATAAAGATCATGAGATTATTTGACACAAATATTTTTTGTGCAAAAATTAAAGAGTAAAAAAGATGTATTCCTTAGCAGGTTATCATTGTAAGAAGCTGAGTTTTTTCCCCCAACACTTGTCCCACTGCCAGCAATGGGAGTGGTAACAACTGATGACATAAAAATAAACTTTTTATATTACTTTGAAATAGATAATGCTCGATTATTTCAATATTATGAAAAGCAAACATTCATACTTGATCACTTAACCAAGACATACCGCAGGAAATTCTACATGTTCTCAATATTAATCTGGACAAAAGGATGAGGGTGGTGCAGATGGAAGACTTAAAAAAAGAAAAATATATAAAACACATGTATTTAGTATAAATAATGAAAATGATTTCATGACACATTAAGAGAAATTTTTGCATATTTTAAAATCCTGTAAAAAGGAGATATATTGAAATGGGTTAATTATATATTAAAAAACAACCACGGATGAATGATAATCAGAATTATAATCGATTACAGAGTTCATGCGATTATTTTTGTTTGAAAGGCTACTGTCCCAAGTCACAAAATTTATGCTCTGATACATCCTTTCATATTAGATTGTTTCTTATTATTCTGTATGTGGTGCTGACAGCTCTTGAGAAAGTGTTAAACAAACCAAAGGCTATAGAAATTTTTCAGCAATAATGGTAAAATAATATATGAAAGTATGTAAACAAAAGGATGCTTCAGAGTTGCAGGTTATTATAAAATCCCTAACTTAGATTAGGACTACAGATCATATTTTAAAAATAGTTAGCATACTCTTAAAAGTTCAAAGTTGGGTTCTCAGTCAGCAGCAAAAGGTGCTAGATGCACAAACTTCGTAGTACCTCCTGAATGACCATGCATGAACAGTGTACCTTCTTGGGACTTGGCTAACCTATGACAGCATGAATGCACCATGTTTACAGTGACCACACAGAAAAGATTTTGCAAAAGTCTCATACCAGGAAGATGCTCTAGCAATAAAAATAATTATATTCCCCTTTTATCTGCCTATCAGAGAACTGCTTTTAAAAGACACTATAAACAATAAAAATTTTGATAGTAAAGCACTGTAAAAATTAGGTGATATTTTTGGCACAAAGCACATTTTAAATCTAAGCTTATTTTGCAAAATATATGTCAGGAACTTTTCATTTGAAAATAAAAACGTACACATTGTGTAAATGGTTTACAAATGAATTAATTAAAATCTACATTCCCTTAAATACTGCACATACCTTCAGTTTGCTTCAGTACCAGATATCTGCATGCACACTTCCACATTCTAATTTTTAGATATTGCACAAGTAACATTGCCAAAATACATACTAGTGCAGTCTGATAAGATTTAGGGTTTGCCTTTCAGCATTATTTTTCCCAAGTATTTGGGTTCAACACTATTATCTAGAAAAGCTAGATGGCCAATTTCAGAAAAAGAATGCTTGTTTTCTTTTCCTTTATCCATATTAAAATCTGTACCAATATATTTAGGCATTGCATATATGTTTTCTAGCATTTAAAATTCAGCAAAACCTGTTTTTGACATTTCGTAATAGCATTCTTTCAAAAACAGGAGAAGCCTCGTCTAATATAAAAAAAAATAAAATAAAATGAATTCCACAGGGCAGTAATTTTTCCACCAGAGGTCTCACTCTACATTCTGAAAAGCACTGCAGAGCAATGTTTAAATCTGTCAGCTTTCAGAAAGCCATTAGGTACAAAGACTGCTAAAACACTTGTAGCATACTGTGACAGCTGGATGTGTTTCTTAGTGAAGTGTACAATATAATTCAACTTTTTCATCCCTAAAATATTTTAAGGTATGCTACAGCTGCTAAAAGGATTTCTGTTTTTCTT